GTCCGTTGTCTAGTGGTCAGGTGTAGGGCTGCTCAGCTCCAGGTGGCACTGATGTCAGAGGTGTGGCCAGGGTGGCCCGGTTCCCGTGGGTGCCACACTGGTGGGGACCCCCCTGCATGGGGCGGAGGTTTCTCCATTGAGAAGCTCTGGCTGGGGGAAGGCCACTTTGCTAAAAGCTCTGGCCCACACTCCCTGAGATGGGAACAGAATGGTGCCACGCAGGGTGGCACTGATGTCAGAGGTGTGGCCAGGGTGGCCCGGTTCCCGTGGGTGCCACACTGGTGGGGACCCCCCTGCATGGGGCGGAGGTTTCTCCATTGAGAAGCTCTGGCTGGGGGAAGGCCACTTTGCTAAAAGCTCTGGCCCACACTCCCTGAGATGGGAACAGAATGGTGCCACGCAGCCGCTGCCACGGAACCAACTAGGAGAGCCCTGGCGTGGCACGTAGGGCGCTTTGCGCTCATGAGAGAGACCCCACGTGGTTTCTGCAGCTGAAATAGGAAACCACGTCCCACGTGGACGTATGAACCACGTCCCACTCCCAGTCCAGAATCAAATGCACCTATAGCCTCTCCCCCTCCTTGCTGCTCACCGTTGTGTATCGACGCTCTCCTGCCGGTTCCTCCCAGAGCGGCAGGAGAACTGGGGGGCTGGAGCCGTCCGGACTGGAGCCGACAGGCGCAGTTCTGCCCACGCCCATCGCTTTGCTGCCACAGCGAGGGCCTGGTTCCTCGGTAGCGGCTAGGCTGGACCTCTCCACGGGGTCCCCATTTGTCCGCATGGCCGGAGCAAGAAACAGAGGCCGCTGGAAAAGGGAAGGGTGAATACTGGGGAGTTTGGCACAGAGTTGGGGATGGGAGGTGCTGCCGAGGCAGGGAGCAGAGGCGCCAGCGCCGTCCATCAGGGTAGTGAAACGGCTCCTCTGTGACCCAGGCGCACTAGCCCTCCCTCGGCCAAAACAGCTTCGGATCTCGCTTTAACCAGCCTCTCTCTTGGGCCTTGCCGGGGCGGGGAACCTTTTTTGGGTCGGGGGCTGCTGACCCACAGAAAAAATCAGTTGGGGGCCGCCCACAAACAAACCCTCACGGCCGTGGCCCCGACTGAGGAGAAAAACCCTCCCACATTCCCCTCCCACACCAGAGCCGGGGAGGGGGGGGGGGCAGGCAAGTCGATTTTGTGTGCTCCATCCCTGTGGTGGGTGATGGGGGGGCTGGAGCACCAGCCCAATGCTGAGGGGGCGGCCCTGAGCCTTGGGGGGGGGGATCCTAGCAAGCTGGGGGCCACATCCACCCCCCAGGCCTGAGGTTCCCCATTCCTGGGCGAGGTCGTCGCGTGGCAAGGACCCACCAGAACGGGCACCTCAGTATCGATGCACGGCGCAGGGCCCTGGCGTGGCTCCGGATCGGGTCTCCTCCCACGTGTGAGAAGGCACCAGCCTCGGAGCCTCGGCCATGCCGGGCTGTGTCTGAAAGACTGGCGGGGCTGGCCACAGACTGGAGCAAGCCTGCATATCACGGCCCTGGCTGAGCTGTCTGGAGCGTCCGCGCTGCCTCGTGCGGAGCGCCTTTTAAGGCAACACCATGCGGCATGCGGAGGAGGGATCGTGCGGAGTTAAAACAGGGCCTGGGCCCTTTCCGTGCAGAGACACAGGAGGGGGTTGTTTGTAGCTGGTCCCCTCAGCACCTGCGTGAGGCAAATACAGAGCAAAGCCTGAGGAAACCCCAGAGTGGAGAGGGAGAGGGAGCAGCTTGTGCTGAGAGAGGAAGCTCTGCTCTGCAGCCCTACACTGGGTCCTTTTAGTATTTCCTCCATTCCCCGCTCACAAAATGCACGTGTGGAATGGCTCCTGCCTAGCGACTCCAGGAAGGGGACCAGGGGTGAGGTAGCAGCAGCACTGAGGCCTCAACGAAGCTGCCCTGGAGTCGGCGCTCGCCTGCCCTTGGTCCCCTCCAGGTTCAGAGGGAAATCCCCATCTTTGCGGAAGCTAATGACAGAAGACTGCAGAGAGAATGGATCAAAACAGCTTCATTTGCAGCAGCCCAGCTCTGCAGAAGGCCAACGGCACGCTCCCCCAGGGCTGCTCTCCCGCCACGCGCAGGATGTGGGACGTCCACAGACACACGCCGCAGCCCAGGGCTGAAGCTAACCCTGTCCACAGATTCCTAGGACTGAAGGAAGGGAAGAACAATGTAGGATTGGGGCGGAGGAAGGGAGGGCGGAGAAGCAATGCTGGCCCACAGACTTTGGAGCTGCTGGGATGGACCCCACCCGAGGGATTCCCCTGGAGAAAGCTGGATCATCACTCTGCCCTGTGTGACAATGACTCGGCTCATCCTGTGCCAGGTTTAAAACAAACAAAAAAGGAAGTTTTTCTGCACCCAGTGCACAGTCAACCTGTGGAACTCCTCGCCAGAGGATATTGAAAAGGCCGGGACTTGAACAGCACCCACAGTGCTCTGCAGCCAGCTGTTTCTTCCGGCCCGGCAAAGCGCAGAGCCTGCTCCTGGATCACAAAAGGAGCCGTCGCCTACCGAACCATCCAGTCCTAATTAAGGAATGAAACCAGCTTTCCCTCGGGGGGAGTTGGAGGTGCATGCCAAAGCTGCGGGGCCTCCAGTGCTCCAGGGGAGGGCTGCAGCCCCGCCGGGCCTTTGGCCAGGAATTGCAGAGGGTGTCTAATCTCGCTCCCCTCCCGGAGTCGGGGAACAGGGCGCACTGTCCCGATTCGCTGCCTGTGGTCCCTCTGAGCAGCGTGCCTCTCTCAGGCGGGCAGAGCATGGCGGCGCGGGGAGGCGGGCGCCCCAACGCTGGGGAAACATCAAAGGGAGGTTGCTTCTGATAGCTCCGGGGCTGGGGCTGCCTCTCCCAGGAGCAGATGGTGCCTGTCATGTGGGGCCGGCTATAAATGGCACCGGATGGAGTCTCTGCAGCGTTGACTCACCGGACAACACTGGAAGAACAGGCAGGGCGAGGGTGGGGGCAGCACAGGCAGTGGGCACTGTGGGCACAGCCCCGGTGACCTACTAACTCCGTCGGCTGGTGCTGGGCTGATCCTCCGTATGGATTTCGGGGGGGAGGGGAGAGTTTGAAGGAGCAGCTGGTGGGGCTACTAAGCCAGATGCACCCCTGCCCTGGCGCAGGGACAGGGGGAAGGCAGCTTGCGTCTCGCTGGTTGGAGGGGCTTGCGTGGACCCCAGCGCAGGCCAGGGAAGCCCTGCCTTGTGCTCCTGGCCTCGCTGGAGCATCGTGGGGGAGAACCCACGGGGGCAGGGCCAGCTGAACTCGACCCTCCTGCCCCGTCTGCGTCCAGCCCCACGTCCCCCTTGCGCCCCAGGGTGCTGGATTCGCCTGTGCAGGGGGCAGTTCCCAAAGGGGCAGTTACACTTGCTCTGCAGCCCTTTGGCACCAGCCCAGCTGGCAGAACCGGCCCATGTTCTAGAGGGGGATCCTGGGAACCTTCATGTAGGGGACCCCCCCCGCCCCGGCAAGGCTGCATCCATCCGTTCCCTTTGGGTGACTGGTGCCAAGGGCAGGGGGCTTTCTAGCACAAAGAGAACTGTGCTTACAGCACCCCTGCCCTTGAGGGCTTAACAAGCCCCAGGGTGAACCACCGGGGAGGAGCGCTTGTGGCTGGGGTGGAGGTGGGGACCTCTGATGCTGGGTTTAGCATCTGGAAGGTGGCGCAGGCTCCGGATGAGCAGGAAAACCTCTGTCGGGAGAAACCGTTTGTGGTTTTCTCCCCACCGGTCTGAGCCCCATGCAGGCACCCCGGGCCTGGAATAGCCGGCAGGCGGGCAGCATCGCGTCCTATCTCGCCTCCAACGGTCCGATGCAGGCTGAGCCCAGGGCAGAGCGCCGGGGGGCTGCAACAGCCTGGGTGGAAGCTGAGCGAGGGAGAGCCCTCTGCAGATAGTGGGGCACAGCTCTGCATGCCGGGGCATTACCCACTTGCGCCTGGCTCCTGAGCGCAGCCTGTGCTCCTGGCATGCAGCCGTTCACGCACCCAGGGGCAGGGCCTGGCTCAGGGGTGCCAGCCCTCTTGCTGCAGGTAGGAGCTGGATTTGCCCTGAAGGGAAAAACATAGACACAGGGATTTTAATCCCCATAAAGCTGTGAGGGACAATTCTGGGCTAGTGGGCAGAGCCCAGAGCAGGTGCAGGACTCCTGTGTTCCTACCCTAAGTCTACAGACATGGCCAGGCCCAAGTGACTTTGCTTCTCTTGACCTTGGCTCCTCCCCTCTACCTCCCCCCGCCTTGAGAAGCGGGCAATAACCCGCCCCTACTTCCAGCACAGCTGGAGATTTCGTTCCTGCATGTGCTAAAGCACCTGGAGATCCTCGAAGGGAGGATTTTATGGACGTAAGTCGTAAGCGGCCAAAGAGGATAATTTATTATTCAAAGGCTGCCCCGAAGTGTGTTTTATCTAGGAATAAAGGTGAGACCTGTTAATGCCTTCCCTGGGGTGATTCTGCTTCTGCCTCGTCGCCACACATCCCACCACGGCGGTTCTCTCCCCCCGCACTCTGACCTTTCAAGAGGCATTTGCAGGATCTTTGCTCCTTGACGGGTCCAGCGGCTGGGGCGGCGTCTGTCCCCCGCTGGCTTCTGAGTCTGTGAGGTCAGAATCATCCCCACCGCAACCAATGGTGACATCACAAACGAGGGACTGTGATGTCAGAGAGGGAGGCAGCGGCTGGAGCAGGTGGAACTCACAGGGAAAGGCGGATCCTGTTTTCATGCAGATGTTCAGAGCAGTAAGAAATGGAGGGGAAATCCTTCCTCTCCCCACCACCGGAGAGATAATTTGGAAGCAGCAGGGCATCAAATAAGAATGTCAGTCAAGAGCTCTTCATTTCCAAATCAGCTTCTGGAAGGGTTTGGATTGGATGTGACCATCACGGCTCGGGTAAAGCTGAACGTTATCCAAGTGTGCAGTGCTCCTTAGCTGCTAATTGCTGCCAGGGCACTGCAGAGACCTGGGCTGTGATTTAGACACAGGGCGTCTCTGCTATAAGTCGCCCCTGTATACATCCATTCCACACTAACGTCGTTGATGCCGGTAGGACCTGATGCGTTGTAAGTCCTCCCATTCCTCGCTCTTACATCGCACAACCCCCTCCCTCAATGTGCGCAAATGGAAATCAGCCACAGGAAAAAATTCCCCGCTTTATGTCATTTCACTCTACAGCTCCGTTTTTTTTTAATGTCTCTTGGATGTATAGCGGGGATGCCCTGTATGGAATAATGCAGACCACCAGGGCATGGTGGGACACGTACCTTTCTTCATGCCACAGAAAGAAAGGGCGAGACGCCAGAGTCCCACATTCCTGCCTGCGCTTGTCGGAAGTTACAGTTAGAGTTCACCTTGGGCTGCGTCTGTTGGTTAAATAATGTGAATAAATCACAGCAAAGCTGCGTCGGTGTCAACGTCTGGGAGCCGCTGTGGGATTCGCCATGATGCTGATAGCCTGCACGTCCACTGGGCTTCTCCGGCAGCAGCTCACAACCCCTCATGAGAATTACTGCTCACGTCCTTGCTTAGACTGTGCCTTTGTGCCATGCCCAGCTCGGCCCTGCTCCTCCCTTGGCCTTCAAGTAGTCAGGGAGCTGTAAGTACAGATAGTGAGTAATGAGTCCAGGGTCCCAGAGGACGTCGGAGTTAGAGGCAGTGTTCCCTCTAAGCTGAGCGCTTGGGCGGCCACCCAGGAGAGAGGCAAATGCTGCCCAGCTGATTAGCAAAGTGCCCACCGCCAGAAGCAGCCGGCAGTATGTGTTTCTACTGGTGGTGCACATCTGCACAGGTCTCGGTGCACAGAACAAAATTTATCCCACACATGGATGGAAACAATTAGCAGGAACATTGGTCAGAGGTGGGGTTAGAACGCAGGACCCAGTCCTGTCTCTGCAGTGGGGACACCTTGCCCCAGCCTCCGGTGCACTGGGAGTAGCTGCCCCACAACTGAACATACTGGTGCTGTGCAGATGGGACTCTGGGGAAGGAGGCAGAGCCGCCTCAGACACTCAGGGCCAGATTTGCACCAGCTCCCGGCCTGTACGATGGCAGGAGTCACTAGGGGCAGCAGCAGCAAACCCTCCGTTCTCCCTTCCCCCACCAGCAGCCTCATGCAGCTCATGTGAATCAGGGCTGACAATCATGGCCCACTGCCTGGCTCATGCTGGTGCAGTCTCCCCTGCTCCCATGTGCTCCCCGGGCTGTGCAGGCATGTAGCCCTTTCATCTCATGCCACTCCCCACTTGCGGGTTCTCTCTTTTGGCAGCCTGCAGGGAGAGAGGGCGCTGAGCTGGTGCTGCCTCGGGATGGCCGGGAGCCCTGCAGGGAGAGGATGCCAAGGCTGGGAGGCAGCTAGCTCCCAGGAGGGAGATGGGTGCTGCCTGGGCATGTCAAGGGAGGAGCAGGGATGAGCTGGGCACAGCACAAACGCATAGGAAGGGCTCCCAGCTTAAGCAAGGATGTGAACAGTCATTCTTCCGCTCTACTCTGTGCTGATTAGGCCTCCACTGGGGTATTGTGTCCAGTTCTGGGCACCACATTTCAGGAACAGGGTTGCCAGATGGTTTAACCAAAAATACCAACTCCCCCCCAACCCCTCCCCCCCCAAAAGGGGAGACCAAAGTTGAGGGGAAAAAAAAGGACCCTGACAATTATTATGCAAAAAAGTTTAAACATACAAAAAACCCAACCCAGCATGGCCCCTTTAAGGCTTTTGGGGCTTTTTTGCCGGAAGCCATCTTGTTTTCTTCCTCCGTGCCAGAAGACAGCTTCCCTGCAAAACCAGGTAAGTGGAGGGAACGGGAAGGGAGGGAACGGGGGGGAGGGCTGATCCGGGATTTTTGCCTCAAGGCCAGGAAAAAATCAGAAAGCACCAGACATTTTAGGTGTCCGGTATTTTCCGATTTTGTTTTTACAGACAGGAGGTGAAAATACCAGACTGTCTAGGTCAATACCGGACACCTGGCAGCCCTATTCAGCAGAGATGTGGAGAAATTGGAGAGGGTCCAGAGAAGAGCAACAAAAATGATGAACGGTCTAGAAAACATGAGCTACGAGGGCAGGCTGAAAGAACGAGGTTTGTTTGGCTTGGAAAAGAGAAGCCCGAGAGGGGACATCATAGCAGTTTTCAAGTATCTAAAAGGGTGTCACAAGGTTTAACAGCATATTAGGATGCATTAGGAGGAGCATTGCCAGCAGATCTAGAGAAGTGATCATTCCCCTGTGTTCGGCACTGGTGAGGCCACATCTGGAGTATTGCGCCCAGTTCTGGGGTCCCCATTACAGAAAGGATGTGGACACATTGGAGAGGGTCCAGCGGAGGACATCGAAAATGATTAGGGGGCTGGAGCAAATGACTTAGGAGGAGAGGCTGAGGGACTTCTGTTAAGTCTGCGGAAGAGAAGAGTGAGGGGGGATTTGAGAGCAGCCTTCAACTCCCTGAAGGGGGGTTCCAAAGAGGATGGAGAGAGGCTGTTCTCAGGGGTGACGGACGGCAGAATGAGGAGCAGTAGTCTCAAGTTGCAGTGAGAGGTGTCTAGGTTGGATTTTAGGAAAAACTCTTTGCTTAGGAGGATGGTGAAGCCCTGGGATGGGTTCCCTAGGGAGGGGGTGGAATCTCCATCCCTAGAGGTTTGGAAGTCCTGGCTTGACAAAGCCCTGGCTGGGTTGATTGAGTTGGGATTGGTCCTGCCTTGGGCTGGGGGCTGGACTCGATGACACCTGAGGTCTCTTCCAGCCCTGGGATTCTATGATTCTAAGGAGGAGGGGGGAAAATTGTCCTCCTGGACCTCTTGATAGAACAAGAAGCAATGGGCTTGAATTGCAGCAAGGGAGGAGGTTAAGGTTGGACATTAACAAAAACTTCCTAACAGTTGGGGGGGTTAAACACGGGAATAAATTGCCTAAGGAGGTTGTGGAATCTCTATCACTGGAGCTATTAAAGAGCAGGTTGGATAGACATCTATCAGGGAGGATGGTGCTTGGTCCTGCCATGAGGACAGGGGACGGGACTTGATGACCTCTCAAGGTCCCTTCCAGTTCTAGGATTCTATGGCTCTATCTGTACTGCAGAGTTTTGTGCAAAAATGGCTTCTCATCCGCTCAGCCACGAGAGCCCCTATTTCACGTTCAGGAGGTTTCACTCTGTGTGACTGCACTTGCTCCCCACCCCCTGCGTTCTCCCCCGGGCACGGGAATCTGACCCAGCTGTGGCGCTGGGGTAACTGTTCGCCTGGCCTTTGGGTGCACAGTCAGCGTGGCTGGATTTTCCCTCCCCGATCCTGGACAGAATGAACAGTGAATGGGACAGTGCGGGACCCGCCCCCTGCAGCCTGGGAATGATGGGTTCTGTCCTGGGCCAGTAACCGCGCATCTCAGCTCACACCATGCCGGAGGCCCTGGAAATTGCCGGAGACATTGGTGATGCACAGACAATGGCAGGAGGCCGTTTGCAGCCTCACCACTGAGACGCCAGCAGGTGGGCTGCCTGCAGCCTCCAATTCCAAGGCTTTAAAACGCCATCCCCTGCTGACAGCTGTCGCGTTTCCTGGTGGTGTAACTCACACACCTAGTGGGTGTGGTTCACTGTCCCATGCATTGGCACTGAGACCACTTACAGCCAGAGATCAGAACAAGGGAGCTCTACAGCCTAAGCTGAGCCCCAGCTGGATTTATAGCTCCAACTGTAGCAGCTCCTACACTGAGGTCGCAGGTTCAAATCCGCCTGGCGGTGGTTACGTTGGTGTGAGCAGGGTACAATCGAAAAGGCTCCCCTGCATGGGTGATGCTGCACCCGAGTTTGTCTCTGTGCTTCAGTCTATTCATTCCTGGAGAACTGCTGATGGCTGGAGCGTCTCCTGGGTGTCAATTGGACCTCCTGTATTTATCACACTGTTTGGGCTTTCCTTCCTGCTTCAGCCAAGGCAAATTCTGCAGCTGGCGCACGTTTCACCTACCCGGAGGTGTCTGCCGAGTGGGCTGGCTCCTCTTTGATCAAAGCTCAGAAGGGTTTTATTAAAAACGGTCCGTGCCAGTTTCAAGCTTCGGAACAGCTGATGGTTTCCAGTTGCCTCGATCTCCCCATAATACGGAGAAGGAGACCAAGATCAGTGCATGACAGAGCTGTGAAAGGGTGTGTGTGACCTGCAGGGCTGTGGATTAGCATTGTGGCGCAGCAGCAGCAGCTCTGTGTGTGTGGACGTGGTTGGTGTAGTAGTGGCTGCTGTGGGCTGGACTGAGTGGCTTTGGCAGGGTGAAGAAGTGTGCACATGGGCTGGGATTAGGGTGAGCAGATGTTCTGATTTTATAGGGAGAGTCCCGATATTCCGATGTTCTGGGCTTTGTCTTATATAGGTGCCTATAACCTCCCTGCCCCCCCCCCCATCCAGTGTTCCCTGTAAGCTGTGCACTTGTGCGGCTGCTCAGGAGAAATTCCAATGCCTCCCAGCTGATTGGCAGAGCACTCACAGCTAGGTTTGTGTTTCATCCACACAGGCTTTGGTGCATGTAATACAATTTATTCCGCACATGTATGGAAAAATCCACATGTGGATAGAAAATATTAGAGGGAATATTGCTTTTGTCCCAAGTTTGCACACTTGCGGTCTGGTCACCCTAGCTGAAATAGGGGTGGGACGGAGGGGCATGGGCAGGTTTGTGGACTGCCAGTTCTGTTGTTTTCAGGAGCACAGGCACATGTTTAGAGAAGTCAAGAGCAAACGCACCCAGTTTGGTCTTGTGCTCTTGACCCCAAGTCACATCTTGACAGGGGTGTGTGCAGGAATTTAAATGTGACCCCTTTCAGAGGGGTACAGAAGCTCTCTGCCTCTCCCCCTTCCCTTCCAGCCCCAGAAGGAGTTCAATGTTCCCTGCCTTCGGGGCTCGAGAAGTTCTGTGCCCCTGATGATAATTGGGGGGCTGGACCCCTGCTTACCCCCCTCCGTATACACCCCACTCCTGGATTGAAAGCAACATGCAATGTGCTAACCAGTGGCTGGTGCACGAGATTTGATGTTAACCTATAACGCTGCCCACGTCTTTTCTTTTATTGAGCGTCACACGTGTGGGAAGCTGCTCTGTAAATAAAGCAGAAAGCAGTGGCAGGGACAGGAAACCCACCAGCACGTCACAACAACCCACGGTTGGATGAGCCCCACTGAGAGCAAAGCACCTCTCGGCTCTGGAA